ATCTTGATTTATTTTTCTTTTGGTGAGATGGAGTCTCTCTCTTTTGCCAGGCTAGAGTGCAGTGGTGTGATCTTGGCTCGCTGCAACCTCCGCCTCCCTGGTCAAGCTATTCTCCTGCTCAGCCTCCTTAGTAGCTGGGATTGCAGGTGACTGTCACTGTGCCCAGCTAGTTTTTGTCTTTTTAATAGAGATGGGGTTTCACCATGTTGGCTAGGATGGTCTCGATCTCCTGACCTTGTGATCCATCCACCTCAGCCTCCCAGAGTGCTGGGATTACAGGCGTGAGCCATCATGCCCGGCCCTAATCTTGATTTTAATGTAGGCTGCATCTATGGCTCTAGATCCCTGGCTGATTGTTCTTTAGGCTTGTAGGTTCTCAAAATTGGCTGCACATTGGAATAACCTAGAACACATTCAGAAATACTGTTGGTCCCAATGCCAAAGATTCTGATTGACTTGGTTTCAGATGCAGCCTAGGCATTAGCAGTTTTTTTAAGCCTCTCCCCCATAACCCTAAGTCCCAGGCAATTCTAATGGCAGCCAAAGTTAAGCATATGCTTTCAGCTATAAATGCTTTTGTTCCTTTACCTTATGACACATAAATTATAGGTCCTCAACGTACCATCTGCATAGCAGTGGATGAATTGGATTTGGATAGTGTATTAGTTTCCTGTTGCTACTGTAACAAATGACCACAAATGTAATGGCTTAAAACAACACAAATTAATTTTCTTATATTTCTGGTGACCAGAAGTCCAAAATAGGTCTCACCAGGCTAAAATCAAACAGGTCTCACTGGGCTAAAAATCACTGCATTCCCTCAGGAAGTGCTAGGAGGAACTCAGATCCTCACCTGCTCCAGCTTTTAGAGGTGGCACCACAGCAGTCAGCCTCTGCCTCCATTGTCATCTCCTTCTCTGACTCTGGCCCTCTTGCCTCCTTCTTAGAAGGTCTTTTATGATTGTACTGAGTCCTCAGGGACAATCTCCCTATCTCAAAATTCTTAATCACATTTGCAAAGTTTCTTTGGCCATGTAAGGGTAACACATTCACATTCACATTCCAGGAATTAGGACATGGCCACCTTTGAGGGGACGTTATTGTACCTACCATAGATAGAGACAGAGCAACTGCTGTCATTACAGTCTCATAAATAGAGTTAACTTACTCTATGATATGTGGCATCTCTTTATTTTGCCCACTTTTTCACCTTTTATTTTAGGTTCAGAGGTACATGTGCAGGTTTGTTATATAGGTAAGTTGGGTGTCACAGGGATGATATTTCATAACCCAGGTAACAAGCATAAGTAGTTTTCCATCCTCTCCCACTTCCTACCATTCACTCTTAAGTATATGTGTCCATGTGTACTCAATGTTTAGCTCCCACTCACAAGTGAGAACACACAGAATTTGGTTTTCTGCTCCTGGGTTAATCTGCCTAGGATAATGGCCTCCAGCTGTATCCATGTTGCTGCAAAGGACATTATTTCATCCTTTTTTATGGCTGCATAGTATTCCATGGTGTGTATGATGCACCACATTTTCTTTCTTTTTTTTTTCTTTAACATGGAGTCTCACTCTGTTGCCAGGCTGGAGTGCAGTGGCGCGGTCTCGGCTCACTGCAACCTCTGCCTCTCAGGTTCAAGCGAGTCTCCTGCCTCAGCCTCCCAAGTAGCTGGGACTACAGGCATGAGCCACCACTTCCTGCTAATTTTTGTATTTTTAGTAGAGATGGGTTTCACCATGTTGGTCAGGCTGGTCTCAAACTCCTGACCTTGTGATCCACCCACCTCGGCCTCCCAAAGTGCTGGGATTACAGGTGTGAGCCACCATGCCCAGCCCTAATCTTGATTTTAATGTAACCTGCATCTGTGGCTCTAGATCCCTGGCCTTGTGAGCCGCCATGCCCGGCCCAGCCGCACATTTTCTTTATCCAGTCTACCGTTTGTGAGCATTTAGGTTGATTCCATGCCTTTGCTATTGTGAATAGTGCTTGTTTGGACTTTCTTGTTTTAGCTGTGCTATAATCTAATCAGAGACCATCTTTATGAAAAGTTATACACCCTGGTGAAAATTGAACCTGAAAAATAATGAAGGGCCTGGGAGCAACAGAAATCAGGAGTGGATACACATTTTTCAATAGTTCAGTAAAATGACACTCAGAACTATAATTGGCTACGGTGGGCTTTAAAGGGCAGACAGAGATGCTCTCTCACTCTGGCGGAGGACTGGCTACCAGCCCTGGGGGATGACTGGCATCTCTATCGTATAGTTTCCCTGCCTCCCCCATGTTCCCTGAGCCTGGCCTTGCTGTGGGACAGAGCGCCAGCTGGCACCTGCCACTCTGCTAGCAGCTCCCTCCCTCTTAGACAAAGAGTATGAAGGCTGGTAAATAATACTTTGGGCCCTGAGTTAGAGGCATGGTCAAATGATGTGGGGCAGGAAGAGTGGGGCTGGCTGGGTGTAATGACTCATACCTGTAATCCCAGCACTTTGGGAGGCTAGGGTGGGAGGATCAATTGAGCCCAGGAGGTCAAGGCTGAAATGAGCTATGATTGTACCGCTGCACTGCAGCCTGAGCAACAGCATATGAGACCCTGCTCCCCCACCCCCGCCAAAAAAGGGGGCTGTACAGGCAGAGAAGGGTCCTGGAAGAGCTGGTTTTAGGTAATGGTTTGCCATTTACTGCTATATGCACCTGCCCTCCCCTGCCAGATGGCAGAGGACCTTCAACAAGGAGGCCTACAGGGAAAAATGTCTTTGTACTGAGGGACTCACCTGACCCTATTACCTGTTCTGAGGGCCCAGCTCCCTTCTCCCATCAAATCCCCATGGTGGCTCTTTCCAGCTGCTTTCTGTCTTGCAGAACAGTGGTGTCTAGTCAGCCATCTCCTTCCCCACTGAGTTGGTCAAGTCCCTGCTGCTGAGAACTCTCTGCTGCCAGAGCTTGGGCCCATCTGTTGCCATGGCAACAGCCAGCTGCTGCTTAGCACCAGCCTGGAGACTGGGCACAAAGAAAGGGTAGCCAAGGGAAGTATGCACTGGGGCTGCCCTGCACCCTTGGAGGCCTGTGGGGTGGGTAGGGGCAGATAAAGCCCCTTTGGGGTCTCCTATTAGTCTCTGATGGGTTTCTTCTCTCAGGAAATTTGGAAGAGCTAAACTCCTTTCTGTTTCTCCACACTAGAATCAGAGTTGGTGGAGATAAAGGTTCCTTTGGCAAGGCAGTTCCAGTGCTTACACACATGCACTCACACACAGTCCTTCACACTGGAGTACACTTTCTTTTTGTACTTGACATGATGTTGACCTCTAAGAGGATTGGAAGCCTGGAAGTATGCAACTGCCCAGGCCTGCTTTAGGTATAAAACCCACCCTTTAGGCCAGGTACAGTGGCTCACGCCTGTAATCCCAGCAGTCTGGGAGGCAGAGACGGGTGGATCATGAGGTCAAGAGATCGAGACCATGCTGGTCAACAAGGTGAAACCCCGTCTCTACTAAAAATTCCAAAAAAAAAAAAAGAAAAAACTAGCTGGGCATGGTGGCACATGCCTGTGGTCCCAGCTACTTGGGAGGCTGAGACAGGAGAATTGCTTGAACCCGGGAGGCAGAGATTGCAGTGAGCCAAGATTGCACCACTGCACTCCAGCCTGGGCAACAGAGCGAGACTCTGTCTCCAAAAAAAAAAAAAAAAAAAAAAAACTGCCCTTTGATGCAGATAGATTCGAATTCAAAACTTCCATTTCTATGTGACCCTGGTCAAGTTAACTATTAAAATGATAGATAACATTTATTGTCAGGCATTGTGTTAAATGCTTTCCATGCATTATTTGCTTCTCAGTAATCTTATCAGTTGTTTGTTCTTACTTCCCATCTTCAGATACAGAAACTGAGGCTCAGAAATTTGCCCTATGTGTGCCCAAGTTTGACTTGCTCTAAAGCCCGTGTTCTTTTTAATTTTTACTTTAATTTTTTTTTTTTTTTGACACAGAGTTTTGCTGTTGTTGCCCAGGCTAGAGTCCGATGGCACAATCTTAGCTCACCACAACCTTCACCTCCCAGGTTCAAGCAATTCTCCTGCCTCAGCCTCCTGAGTAGCTGGGATTACAGACATGCGCCATGACACCCAGCTAATTTTGTATTTTTAGTAGAGAAGGGGTTTCTCCATGTTGGTCAGGCTGGTGTTGAACTCCTGACCTCAGGTGATCCACCTGCCTCAGCCTCCCAAAGTGCTAGGATTACAGGCACGAACCACTGTGCCCAGCCTACTTTAATTTTTTTGAGGCAAGATCTCACTCTGTTTCCCAGGCTGGAGTGGCATGACACAGTCACAGCTCACTGCAGCCTTGCTCTCCTGTGCTCAAACCATCCTCCTGCCTTAGCCTTCTGAGTAGCTGGGACTACAGGTGCACACCACTGCACCCAGCTAATTGTTTTTTTTTTTAAGAGACAAGCTCTCACTATGTTGTCCCAGCTTGTCACAAGCTCCTGGCCTCAAGTTGATCCTCCTGCCTTGGCCTCCCAAAATGCCCGTATTCTTTTTTTTTTTTTTTTTTTGAATTAGAGTCTCACTCTGTCACCAGGCTGGAGTGCAGTGGTGCGATCTTGGCTCACTGCAACCTCCACCTCCCAGGTTCAAGCGATTCTCCTGCCTCAGCCTCCCGAGTAGCTGGGATTATATATAGGCACATGCCACCACGCCCAGTTAATTTTTATATTTTTAGTAGTGACGGGGTTTCACCATGTTGGCCGGGGTGGTCTTGATCTCCTGACCTCGTGATCTGCCGGCCTCAGCCTCCCAAAGTGCTGGGATTACAGGCGTGTGAGCCACTGTGCCCGGCCCATATTCTTAATCATTGTTCAGTATTAACCTTGGATTGCTTTAATTTCTTCATCCATAAAATGGGCATAATATCTGCCTCGCAACATAATTGTGTTTCCAGAATCTCTGGTTTCTCTGGTTTCCAGAGTATCAGGCTCTGGCTCTTTCCCCATGTCCGCAGGTGATTTCCATGGTGATGGTGGCTGTGGGTGTCTATGCTCGGCTGACGAAGCATGCAGGTAAGCTGGAGCTCTCCCTCCCTGCTCCCACCTCGTGCCATGCCCCTTCCCCCTCTGCATCCTTCAGCCTGGCTCTCATACATAAGCTATGGGGCTAAAGAAGGCAGCCTCCCTGGAGCCAGATCTTCATGGTCTATTTAGGTGTCAGAACCCGCCCCCATGCCAGTTCCCCTGGATTTCCCTGAGCCCCTCTGAGTCTTCCAGGATATATCTATATTTGAGGCTTAGGAAGTGTCTAAGATAGAAGGTAAGCCTCTGGAAGCAGAGAGTCACCAAGGGCTTTAGCCCCTCCCTAGCTCTGTCCTGGAGAAACCCAGTCACCGTTCCTCTTTCACCACACAAGTATCCAGGAAACAGAATCTGTAAAGCTGGTGAGCCTAATGCCTTTCTGATTCTGTTCTGGGGTGAAAGCCTCTCCTCTCTTAAGCCCAGGAATAAAGGTTTTTATTTCTGTAGTATCTCAAATTAAATGCCACAACCCTTCTGGGCCCTTTTGGTTCTCCCCGTGGGACAGGGGTACTGCCTCCTCTTAGCCTTCATCTGACCATACCGGAGATTCCCCCACCAGGGAAGGAGAACATTTTGGGGGCACCCTCCCATCCCATCCGTGGGTTCCTCAGTGGGTACCAGGCTCAGTCTGAGGGCTGGCTCCTTCCCCAGAAGCAGCCCTAGCCTGCCTGGCGGTAGACCCTGCCATCCTGCTGATTGTGGTGGGTGTCCTCATGTTCCTGCTCACCTTCTGTGGCTGCATTGGGTCCCTCCGTGAGAACATCTGCCTCCTGCAGACGGTGAGTGGTCAAGGCCCCTGTGGAAAGCCCCTGGCCCCTCCCCATCATGCCTCTTAGCCTCCTGGTGCCATTCTTATGGCCCTTTGGTTTCCTCATCCCATCCACCCCCAGGCCTGTGCTGTTCACTCCTCAGTGCAGAGCTCAGCCCAGGTGACCCAGCACATGGTGGCCACCCCCAGGACAGTGTCCTAGAAGCAGCTGTCTTTCTCATGTGTGGGGCATCTGGGAGAATTGCCCAATAGATCCCAGCATCCCCATGGGCCTGGGCGGTGGGTGCTGCTGCCCTGACTGGTCCCAGAGGCCTCCTCTTCCTGCTGCTCCACAGTTCTCCCTCTGCCTCACCGCCGTGTTCCTGCTGCAGCTGGCCGCTGGGATCCTGGGCTTCGTCTTCTCAGACAAGGTAACACTGGGAGCTGGGAGGCCTCTTCAGGTGTGGCCCAGAGGGAGGAAGGAAAGTTCCTGTCCATGTTTAGCCTGGTTAATTAACCACAGCTCTCCTTCCCCTGATAAACATCAGCCGTGGAAAGGTTCATTAGGGATGAATGAATGGCCTGTAAGCACATCATATTTGAGGAGAATTTCAAAATCATAAGGTGCTTTCCTCTGACAGTCTGAGAAGCTAACAGGGAAGTAAATTATACAAACACAAAAAATAATTTAGAAACTCTAAAAGCAATGACAGCATCAAACTCAATAATCAAATGGACCACTGATAATATGAAGAGCCTCTTATTTCTTTTAAAAATTGTTTATTGAGATAAACAGAAGAAGGAAGGAGGAAAGAAAACAAGATTTTGGTTTGGGTTTTGTTTTGTCTTTTCTTTTGTTTTTTTGGTTGGTGTTTTTGTTTTTTAAGAGATGGGAGTCTCACTAGGTTGCCCAGGCTGGCCTTGAACTCCTGGGCTCCAGTGATCCTCCTGCCTCCATCTCCTAAGTATCTGAAATTACAGTCATGTGCCACCATGCTTGGCTTAAGACAAGATTGTGAATAATGCTTGCCATATATGGAAGTGGTCTGCCATTCAGTGACAATCCTTTTAATTAAGAACCAGAATGCCTTTCCCAAAAGGCAGATGATTGCTAAAGGCAGAGTACAGGACTATGGAAGGAAAATTTAAGAAAAGTAGTGGAGCAGGAAGGAAGGGACCATGGTAGAAAATTATGAAATCAGACCAGGCGCCATGGCTTGCGCCTGTAATCCCAGCATTTTGGAAGGCCAAGGCAGGCGGATCACTTGAGGTCAGGAGTTCGAGTCCAACATGGTGAAATCCTGTCTCTACTAAAAAATACCAAAAAAATTAGCTGGGTGTTGGGAGGCTGAGGCACAAGAATGGCTTGAACCCAGGAGAAGAGGTTGCAGTGAGCTGAGATCGCACCACAACACTCTAGCCTGGGTGACAGAGTGAAACTGTGTGTCTCAAAAAAATAAAAGAAAAGAAAATTATGAAATGGAGAGCCACTGAGTTAATTCCAAATTTCCTAGTCCTCCTGGCTTAGTAAAATCCTGAAGTGATGTATTAAATAGATCCGTTTTGAGTCTAAAGAGATGTAATTATCTCGTGTCCACTAGAGGGCAGTGCCTCAGCTCAGTAAGCTACTTTCTGCTAAAAAATTAAAAATTAGTTTGTTTTCATCAGTCAACAAGTATTTTGCGATAATAGCATTCAGAAGTAGATAGACATTGGAATATCTTGATGTGTCTCTGAAAAGCTTCAACAGCAGGTCCAGCATTTCTGCTGCCCACTGGTACCTGAGGGCCCTCGGGTCGATAGGCTTTAAACCAGAAATGGCTGTTTTCCACCATTGGGACTCTATTCTGACTTCAAGGCAAACTCAGTTAAGAAGGATGATCCCTGGCCAGGCACGATGGCTCACGCCTATAATCCCAGCACTTTGGGAGGCCAAGGTGGGCAGATCACCTGAGGTCCAGAGTTCAAGTCCAGCCTGACCAACATGGAGAAACCCCATCTTTACTAAAAATACAAAATTCACCGGGCATGGTGGTGCATGCCTGTAATCCCAGCTACTTGGGAGGCTGAGGAAGAATCGTTTGAACCCGAGAGGCGGAGGTTGTGGTGAGCTGAGATCGCACCATTGCACTCCAGCTTGGACAACAAGAGCAAAATTCCATCTCTCAAAAAAAAAAAGAAGAAGAAGAAGGATGATCCCTGTCTACTGTTATTTTTGCAGGAAGGAGCAAGTTAGGGATTAGTCCTGTGTTCTGATTCCTTGCCCATGTCTCCGGCAGGCTCGAGGGAAAGTGAGTGAGATCATCAACAATGCCATTGTGCACTACCGAGATGACTTGGATCTGCAGAACCTCATTGATTTTGGCCAGAAAAAGGTACGGGTCAGCCAGTGGTCTGGGGGACTGTGGATAAAAGTGAACATCATCTCAAGAGATGCCTCACCCTCTGTACCTGTGGGGCTCTTGGTTACCTGCCAGGTAATGGCTTCTGCAAAGGGGTTTGGCAAAAAGGCATACATAGCAGAGTGTTTTAAACATACCTTTAAAGGCACAGAACAGTATATATAGTAATCTACTGTGTTATATGTGGTTGCCTACAGGGGGATGAGGAACTGAGCAGATTCTTAAATATAACCTCTTCAAAAGTGATATTTTAGGCTGGCCGGAAAGTAGAGTTATCTGACTTGATTGTTCACAGTCAACTATGGATCTAACTCCTTGTTCTACTCTTTTCCCCTTTCACTGCTGCACTTGACTAGTCTAAAAAAAAAAGAAAGTTACATTTTAAAAATTGTGATAATATTTACACAGTGTAAAATTTACCGTTTTTAAGGATACAGATCTGTGGCATGAAGTATCTTCAATTGCTGTGCAACCATCACCATCTCCAGAGCTCATCTTCCCCAGCTGATACTCTGTATCCATGAAACACTAACTCCTCATTTTCCTCTCTTGAAACTGTATCATGGCCGGGTGCGTGGCTCACGCCTGTAATCCCAGCACTTTGGGAGGCCGAGGTGGGTGGATTATGAGGTCAAGAGATCGAGACCATCCTGGTCAACATGGTGAAACCCCATCTCTACTAAAAAATACAAAAAATTAGCTGGGCATGGTGGTGCGTGCCTGTAGTCCCAGCTACTCAGGAGGCTGAGGCAGGAGAATTGCCTGAACCCAGGAGGCAGAGGTTGCGGTGAGCCGAGATCGCGCCATTGCACTCCAGCCTGGGTAACAAGAGTGAAACTCCGTCTCAAAAAAAAAAAACAAGAAAAGAAAAAGAAACTGTATCATCAAATACTAACTCCCCATTTTCCTCTCTTGAAACTCTGTATCTATTAAACACTAATGCCCCATTTTCCTCTTCCCAAGCAACTGCTATTCTACTTTTTGTCTGAATTTGACAACTCTAGGTACCTCAAATGAGTGGATTTACAGTGTTAATCCTTTTTTGAGTGGCTTATTTCACTTAGCATGTCTTCAAGTTTCATCTCTGTTGTAGCATGTGCCACAATTTCCTTTTTAAGACTGAATAATATTCCATTATATGTATATGCCACATTTTGTTTATCTATTCATTCACCAATGGAAACAAGGGTTGCTTCCATTGTTTGGCTATTGTGAACAAGGCTGCTATGAATCCAAAGTTAACAATTAGGCCGGGCATGATGGCTTATGCCTGTAATCCCAGCACTTTGGGAGTCCAAGGCAGGCAGATCATTTGAGGTCAGGAGTTTGAGACTAGCCTGGCCAACACCCATCTCAACTAAAAATACAAAAAGTAGCCAGGTTTGGTGGTACATGCCTGTCGTCCCAGCTACTCGGGAGGCTGAGGTACGAGAACAGCTTGAATATGGGAGGTGGAGGTTCCAGTGAGCCAAGATTGTGCCATTACACTTCAGCTGGGGTGACAGAGACTCTGTCTCAAACATAAATAAGTAAAAAATATGGCCAGGCGCAGTGGCTCATGCCTGTAATCCCAGCACTTTGGGAGGCTGAGGCAGACAGATCACGAGGTCAGCCTGGCCAACATGGTAAAACCCCACCTTTACTAAAACACAAAAAATTAGCCGGTTGTGGTGTTGCACACCTGTAGTCCCAGCTACTCAGGAGGCTGAGGCAGGGGAATTGCTTGAACCCTACCTTAATTGGCTGAGATTGCAGTGAGCCAAGATTACACCACTGCACTGCAGTGCAGCCTGGTGACTAAATAAATAAATAAATAATAAAAACAAAAAAAATAACTTTTAAGTAAAAGTGCTTTTGAGACAAGTCCCGAGTTCCCCTTCCTCTGGTGTGATAGACACTTGACTTTGAGATCCAGTTTGCTCTCATGGAATAATGATGGACTCACAATGTTGAAGATTCCTCTCCTGTGTTTTCTTTATCTTTCAGGGAAGTTTTTCAGCACTGATCCTTTAATTATTTCAGCCCGTACTTTTGAACACTTCCATTTGCCTACAAAGCCAGAAACTTCTCTCAAGAAGATTATAGCCGAATATGTAATACAAAATATATGTACAACTGTAATACCAACAAGCATAGTGGTAATTTATAACAAGATATACAAAGCAATAGAAATTAAGAAGTGAGAATATCTTCAGATGAAGGCAACTGGGAAGCTGGAGCTCAAAGTTTAAACCTGTGTTTAAACAAAGTTCCCAGTGGAAGCATGCCATAGACTTTTGGTGGCTCTGAGAATTTCCCTGGTCACCTCAGTGTGAGGGGTGGGTGAGTCTTAACCTCTGGTGGATTTTATTGCAGTTTAGCTGCTGTGGAGGGATTTCCTACAAGGACTGGTCCCAGAACATGTATTTCAACTGCTCGGAAGACAACCCCAGCCGAGAGCGCTGCTCTGTGCCTTATTCCTGTTGCTTGCCTACCCCTGACCAGGTGAGCCAGCATCCTGCCTCATTTCTTCCTGGGCAGTCAGCTGAGTCGCTTTCTGATGGCCGCAGTTGCTACTGGGAATCCCCATCCTGTAGCTTAACCGATCAGTTGTGTGGGACAGCTGTCAGGTGACTTTCTTCACCCCAATCTGATGCTTCTGTAGCCCACATGGAATTCAGAAGGGATAGGTTTAACTTTTTTTTTTTTTGAGATGGAGTTTCACTCTTGTTACCCAGGCTGGAGTGCAATGGCGCGATCTCGGCTCACCGCAACCTCCGCCCCCTGGGTTCAGGCATTCTCCTGCCTCAGCCTCCTGAGTAGCTGGGATTACAGGCACACGCCACTGTGCCCAGCTAATTTTTTGTAATTTTTAGTAGAGACGGGGTTTCACCATGTTGACCAGGATGGTCTCGATCTGCCGACCTCGTGATCCACCCGCCTCGGCCTCCCAAAGTGCTGGGATTACAGGCTTGAGCCACCGCGCCTGGCCAGGTTTAACTTTTAAGGTCAGATTCAGTACCTGTGCAGGTTTGTTACATAGGGAAACTTGTGTCTTAGGGTTTGTTGTACAGATTATTCTGCCACCCAGAGCAAAGAGACCTGGACCCTGACCTTTCAGAGGAAGGGAAGTCTGCATTTAGCAACTTCCAACCCAGCATCCTCCACATGCATTCTCTGACCATTTAGCAGTTTAGAAAGGGTGGGAAGCCCATCAGCTAAGGCCCAAAACAAAAAGTAATAGGAATGGGAGTCCTAATTGGTTTTTCAATTCTTTTCCCAGGCAGTGATCAACACTATGTGTGGCCAAGGTATGCAGGCCTTTAACTACGTGGAAGCTAGCAAAGTCATCTACACCAATGGCTGTATTGACAAGTTGGTCAACTGGATACACAGCAACCTTTTCTTACTTGGTGGTGTGGCTCTAGGCCTGGCCATCCCCCAGGTAACTTACCCTGTGAGACTTGTGGGTCTCACACACTCTGTAAAGACTCCTTTGTTTTGGGGAAGGCACCCGGGGATCAGCGAGGGTGTCAGGCACTGATATGGCTGAAGGGTAGGAAAAGGGATAGTGCTGACCGCACCGGGAAGATTAAGCCAGGGAAAACAAGGCCATCACTCATTTCTGAGGGCCCAATTCCTTCTTGCCTCTCCCAGCTGGTGGGAATTCTGCTGTCCCAGATCCTAGTGAATCAGATCAAAGATCAGATCAAGCTACAGCTCTATAACCAGCAGCACCGAGCTGACCCGTGGTACTGACAATCCATCCAGCACCTCCTCACCATGGCAACCGGCAAGCTTCATCAACCAACAGCAGCGGGTGCTGAGAACAGCCCCAAATGGAGACTTGGATTCCAGCCCCCCAGTGATAGCCCAGTGGGAAGATGGAAACTCCAGATGGGCAGAAGGCAGGGTGCACAGGTGGCTCCGGTCTCGGGAGGATGGGCCTCCTCTCCCCCGTCCTCTCCCTCAGCACTGTGCGAGAGTTATACTCTTAAGTGTTTGGGTTTATGTTTTCAGTTTTGTTTGGGAAACAGCAGCTGCACAGAGTTGGGAGTCCTGCTGCTGCCTTTTCACCAGGCAACACCATCAGCGCTGCTCCTGAGCTTGGTGGACAGACTTAGATCTTAACGTGCCAGTGAGACCTGGCTGTGGAGAGTTGCACTAGCAGCCCTGCCTGGAGTCCACCTGGCATGATACCAGCTCCAGAAGAGAAGGGAGTGAAGCAGGCAGTGGGGAACCTACCTGGGGTCGACTGGGGACAGCCCTAACTGCTAGGTAGGCGTGGAGGGGGATATGTTTACCAAATGCCTGCCCTGCCATCCTCCCAGGTAGTCAGAGTGAGCTACATCCTGCCCCGCCTTCATTACCATGGAAACGTGGCAGCAAGGGCACGGGGGACTACTGCAGCCAAATTCTTCCCCACCCCACCCCCTTCGAAAAAAAATGTGGACCCCTGGTCCCTGTACTCTGCAGTCAGAAGTGGGACTGAGCCATGCGTGCCCTTGAGTTCCTCCCTGTCTGGCCCTCCGTCTCCAGCAAGCGGGGTTTTCTTTAACTTGGCAGGGTGCAGAGAAGTGGTAACACTCCCACCCCATTCCCCTGCACCGGAGCTCAGTATTCCTACAGGGTAAGAGGCAGGAATCTTGCTGGGACGCGGGGGGAGCCTGAAGTGGCAATAAAAGCGTGTTGACCTGGGCTACGCCGGACTCCACGAATTTTCCATTCTGGCAACTGGAAGGGGAGGGTTAGAAGGGCCCTGCCTCCCGGAGGGCACTGGAGACTCTCCTAAACGCCACACATCTCTGCCTTACTGCCTGCCACACGCGCGTCTCCTTCTGCGATGCACTGCACCCTCCCACCGCCTCGCCCTCTGCTCTAAATTAGGTCGAAAGAGTTCCCAGCTCCAATCTAGGAACAGCATCATTTTATTCCAAAACCTGATGTGTTTTTTTCGAATTAAAATGGATTAAAATTAATTTGTCACCCAAAACAAGAGGGGAATGGGGAGGAGGGAAATGAGCACTCCGCTGGGGCCGGGGGGAGGATGAAGAAGAAGGCCCTCTCTTCACCCGCCCTGGGACCTCCATGCCCTTCTCCCCCAGCTTGCTGTAGGGAGGATTCCGAGGACGCTCGGCGCGGTGGCGCCCGGAGGAGCCCGCGAGGCAGGCAGGGCGGGCGCGTCCGGGGCGGGGCTCTGGGCTCCGTGGGTGGTCCCCGCCCCCGCGGCGGCCCCGGCCCGCGCCTGCTTCCCCTGTCCGGGAAGAGCTAGGAGCTGTGCGAGCCGCTTGCCAAGCGAGCGTTCCCGGAGTCTCCCAGCCGCACCTCGCTATCGGGCGCTCAAACCCCGGGCTCGGCCTCGCGGGGGGAAAGCCTCGCAGAACCGCTGGGGGGACAAAGAGCCGTGAGTTCGCTCCCTGCCCCCAATGTCTCCTAAGCCAGCCTTTTGCTCCTGAGAGGGCGCCTTTCCAGCAGCTGCCTGGGGCCCCGGCCAGTGTTTAGCTTCCAACTAGTAACAGACGGAAAGAAAAAAATAAAATCATCTAGAATAAAAAGTAAGGGCCTTTTATTCTGGGAGAGGAGAGTTTTAAAGCACCCTTTCTTGCCAACTTGCCTTTCTTGCTTAGTGCCAGAGACGTGCGCTTTAGAAACTTCTTTAAGTGACACGGACTCAGAAGTCGATGTCTTGGGTCAGGGGTTGGAATGATGCGCCCTCTGGGTTCAGCGGCTCAGCCTGCAGCGGGGTCCGTTTGGGGCCTCTTGGAGGAAGTAAGAGACCAGGAACCGTGGCGCTCAGTGTGAGGATTCAAATCCGGATTTTTAAGAATCCGAACTACACTTCTACCATGGCCTCTGCTGTCTCTCAGTGACTAGCCTCCTGGGTCTGGACTAAAAGGCTGGGGTCTTCTGCCCATGCCCCAGACTTTATAATGCACAGAGCAAATGTTCAGTGTAGTGAAGCTCAGGGTTCCTAGCCGGATTCCAGATTGCCAGTGTCCCTGATTCTCAGTCCCTAGCTTGCTTTCTCTTCGGTCTGATGCTGGGGAAGAAAATGCCCAAAGTTTTATATTTCATGTTTGCTCCTTGAATTTCTACCTATTTCTAGTAACCCTCACCCCAAGTGTAAGGGATTAACACCGCTCTTACCAGACAGAGTCCCAGTCCAGACCCCAAGAGAGGGTTCTTGTATCTCATACAAGAAAGAATTCAGGGCAAGGCCGGGTGCGGTGGTTTATGCCTGTAGTCTCAGCACTTTGGGAAGCCGAGGTGGGCAGATCACCTGAGGCCGGGAGTTTAAGACCAGCCTGACCGATCAACATGTAGAAACCCTGTCTCTACTAAAAATACAAAATTAGCCGGGTGAGGTGGCACATGCCTATAATCCTAGCTACTCAGGAGGCTGAGACAGGAGAATCGATTGAACTCAGGAGGCAGAGCTTATGGTGAGCCGAGATCGCGACATTGCACTCCAGCCTGGGCAACAAGAGAGATACTCCATCTCAAAAAAAAGAGAAGAAGAAATATTCAGGGCAAGTTTATAGAGAGTAAAGTGAAAGCAAGTTTATTAAGAAAATAAAGGAATAAAGAATGGCTCCTCCACAGACAGCAGCCCCAAGGGCTCTGATTGCCCATTTTTATGGCCATTTTTTGATGACATGCTGAACAAGGGATGGATTATTCATGCCTCACCTTTTTAGATCGTATGAGGTAACTTCCTAATGTTACCATGGCATTTGTAAACTGTCGTTGCGCTGGTAGGAGTATAGCAGTAAGGACTACCAAAGGTCACTCTCATTGCCATCTTGGTTCTAGTGGGTTTTAGCTGGCTTCTTTACTGCAAACTGTTTTGTCAGCAGGATCTTTATGAGCTGTATCTTGTGCCGACCTCCTATCTCATCCTGTGACTTAGAATACCTTAACCTCCTGGGAATGCAGTCCAGTAGGTGTCAGCCTTATTTACCCTGCCCCTATTTAAGATGGAGTTGCTCTGGTTCAAACGCCTCTGATGCCACTACTTTAGAATAGGTAATCAAATACAGGCTGCAAAGGTGGTTGAATGAAAGGAGATTCTTGGGGACAGCAGAAATCAGGCTGAGTATACACAGGTGGAGGGAAAGGCCTGAAGGATGGTGAAAACCTGGCAGGGTGGCACAGCAAGAAGGGTGCCACTAAGTTCTGTGGGCCTCAAGCCCTGCAGTTAAACAAGGACTTGTGTGCAGAAGAGCAAATTTTGCAGAATGTTCAGTGAAATTCTGATTTCTTCCTCTATGTTTTTTATTGCTACTGTTATAAATTACCACACATTTGACTGGGTGTGGTGGCTCATCCCTATAATCCCAGCACTTTGGGAGGCCAAGGTGGGAGGATCACCTGAGGTTAGGAGTTTGAGACCAGCCTCTGGTCAACATGGTGAAACCCTGTCTCTACTAAAAAATACAAAATTAGCCAGGTGTGGTGGCGCGTGCCTGTAATCCCAGCTACTCGGGAGGCTGAGGCAGGAGAATCCCTTGAACCCCAGAGGCGGAGGTTGCAGTGAGCCGAGATTGCGCCACTGTACTCCAGCCTGGGCAACAGAGTGAGACTCTGTCTTTTTTTTTTTTTTTTTTTTTGAGACTCTCAAAAAAAATTACCACAGATTTAGTGGTTTAAAGCAACACAAATTTATCTTACCATTCTGGAAGTAAGAAGTCCAAAATGAGTCTCCCTAAACTAAGATCAAGGATGGAGCAGGGCTGTTTTCCTCCTCGGGGGCTTTAGGAGAGAATCCATCTTTTCCTGCTCCCAGAGGCCACATGCATATTTTGGGTGGTCTCTTCCTCCAACTTCTGTCATCACATCCCCTTTTTCTCTGACTCTCCTACTGCCCTCCGGCAGGACCCTGGTGATTGTATAGGCCCACCTAGATTACCCAGGATGCCCTTCCCCCATGAAGATTTTCCATGTAACCACATTTACAAAGTCCCTTTTACCATGTGAGGAAAGATACCCATCGGTTCTAGGGATTAGGACATGGACATTTTTGGGGTGGCGTGATTTAGCTCATCCATCCCTTTCCAGCCTTCAGGTGCAGGCATTTGGGAATGAGCTGATCTTGGATACTGGCAAGAGTTTGAGGTAGGTGTTCTCTGGCCTTTGTTCTGATAATTACCTAACATCTATCGAGTGCTTACTATGCACCAGGCACGTATTTATTATGAAGTTTAATATGCAGCCTTTGCTATTTTCTGACTAATTCTCTTCCTAAAGACCAGATATGTTAACAGGGCCAGAGACCAGATTCAAAAAGGAGAGCAGGCCAGGTGCAGTGGCTCATGCCTGTAATCCTGGCACTTTGGGAGGCCAAGGCAGGAGGATCACTTGAGCCCAGGAATTTGGGACCAACCTGGGCAACAAAGGGAGACCCTATCTATACAAAAAGTAAAAATTAGCCAGGTGTGGTGACACATTGGCCTCTACTGTCTCTTGACATCTGGCCTCCTGGATCTGTCCCAGCTACTTCAGAAGCTAAAATGGGGAGGATCACTTGAGCGTGGGGGTGGGTGGGGGTGGGAGGTGGGGAGATGGGTGTCAAGGCTGCAGAGAGCTGTGATTGTCCCATTGCACTCTAGCCTGGGCAACAGAGAGAGACTTTTCACAAAAAAAAAAAAAAGAACAGCGAGCAGCATAGTTTCTTCCACCACCAGCAGAGTTCTGTTTTATTTTGTAAACACCCACACCCCACCCCTAAAAATAAGAGTAATTAGATATTTCAAATCATCATAGATAAAGCACTTAGGGGCGGGAATAAAGTAAGGAGTATCCATGGTTTAGAACTCAAGTTGGAAATTAAGCCTCCTGAGTCTTCTCATTACTGTACCAGGAACCTGGAAAATCAATCAAATGAATGGAAATAGCAAAGGGATTCCAGAAATAATTTTGAACATTGGTGCTCACTGTCCAATAAACAAGAAGCAACACAGTGTTGAGAGGAAGCTGTAATCATAATCACTAATAAATGTTATTAGACAAATGAATCATTGCAGTGTGGAAAATAAGGACCGGCTTCCTACCTCACACTGTGCACTGCAGAGCATTCCAGAAGAATAAGAGAGCTGAGATTTTAAAGTAAAACAAACAGGAAAACCAGAATATCATGTTGTCCTAGCTCTAGGAAGCTAGAGTGGACAGCTTTTCCGTGTATCTGCCCAACTTGCAATGATTCTCTCTTCTCTGGAAACTAGTGCCCACCCCTCAAGCCACAGGAGTGAGTCTTGAGGAGCCATGTTTGTCCTCTAAGGCTGGGTCCCCTGGGCACAGCCGATTAGATCCAGCTCAGGCACTCTCTTCGTTTCCTAGAGCTCCCATCACAAAGTGCCACAAAGTAGATCGCTTAAAACAACAGATATTTATTGTTTCACAGTTTTGGAGGCCAGAAGTCTGAAATGGAGGTGTGGACCGGGCCATGCTGCCCCGAAGCCTCCAGGGGAGGGTCCTTCCTTGTCCTCTTCAGCTTCTGGTATCGGGGCATTTCTTGGCTTGCGGCAGCGTAAATGCAGACTCAACCTTCCTCTTCACATGGCCATCTTCCCTCTGTGCCTGTGTCTCAGTTTCTGTCTTCTCACTGTACTCCAGTATCCTCATCATTTTTGTTTTGTTTTGTTTTTTCAAGATGGAGTCTCACTCTGTTGCCCAGGCTGGAGTGCAGTGGCTCAATCTTGGCTC